GCAACAGCTTTATTTTGAAAGTCTAACAAGACGTAGTTTATGAGAGGGGCAAATCTACTGTCATATTTTGAAGCGGGAGGGCCATTTAAACTTTGAAATCTAAGCAGTAATTTCATTATCAGCCATGCCAATTTTCCCCACAATCCCCCTGGTGTTTAATAGTTCTTCACTTAATCATTTAATCTGATTCTTTACGTGTCTGTGAGCTTCCTGTATTTCAGCAGCTGTGAAATCTGACACAGTGACACCGTCGTGATCTTCGTCAGTGAAAGATAATCAACCAAACACTGGCAGTTCCGAACCCTGTCTCCAATTCTAGGACTCACTCTCCCATGAAGCTTTGCATTTCCTCATCTCATCTCATCTCATCTCATCCTGGCTGCCTGCGTGTCATAATTTCTGGATAATGGATGAGGTTTTGAATTTTTTATATCGTCATTTGCAGACTGAAAATAAACCGGTGAATCTGCCCTCACACACTGGCACAATCGTTTTCGGTTTTCAGACTAAACCTTTATAGTAAGTCACCTAACTGTAAGAGACTGGGAGTGTCGTGAGAGGTCTCAGCATGAAAACTGTGAGGTTCACTCTACATGAAGAACTCCAGGCAGCCTAATTGAAGGTATTTCAGTGCACAGTCGGTTATAAATAATGCATCTTTTATGAATTCCCTCTGACGTACAGTCGCTCCTGTAGTGAGGCTCCTGCAGAGGGAAAGCATGACGAAATACTCTTCACACACACACACACACACACACACACACACACACACACACTATTATCAGCATTCAGATGTTCAACTTGAGAGCATCAGGGGTGTTCAGTGACATACACCAACAAAACAATACTCCAAACAAACATGAGTGCATTGTGGTGACTTACTTTTTTTTACATTCAGATAGGATTACTCTGTAAGATAGATTCTCATCAGGAAAAATTGGTTGTTTAACAATGAAGACTCCCATGATCCCGTGCTCTGTTGTATTGTATCTGTCATTTTATTCAGGTAACGCTGCGTTTCACCGGTCGCCTGTCGATGGCGTCATATCCCCTTTGTGCCTGCGTCAGCGTTATGGTTGTCTGTCAGAAGCTGTCATACAATGACTGTTGATCCAGTCTGAAGCCACATTGTTACCATCCACTGTTTAGATCTTGGTGCTTTTTAACTCTAGATTTGAACCAGATGAAGGATTTTAGTCATCGGACGTCTGGATCTTAAGTTATCAGAGAAACAAGCTGAGCTAACGTTAGCAGCAGCTCGGCTCCTTAACGATGAACACTGAAAGAATCCCAACCGCGAGAAAAGCTGAATGCAATATATGTCAATATACCTTGAGCTTATATGGTCAACACTGACTGTGCCTTTAAGGGCTATTTTGGGGTTGATTTTGTTTGATTGACAGGTGTCTCAGCCTGTTACACTCAGCCACGGTGGTTGCCACTTTCCTATCCCACCTCACCTCCATCCCCTTTGACCAAATGAGGAATTTCTGGCTCCAGTAAACTAACAGAGATGCAAAACGGCACCCTGTCCATGCTTTCAGTGAGCATTTCATCAGTCTCAGTCAGCTTCAGCGCTGAGTGAGGGGGTTGCCTCTGATGCGTGCAGCTCCTACTGTACAGCGAGTGTGATGGAGCTAATGGTTCATCGGTGCAGTGATAGCTTCACATGTATAGAAGTCTGTTTATGGCAACAGCGGGGTGACAGACAGGCCGAGAACGCCAACACGCTGGGCGAATCTTTCTGTGCAGCTGTCACTCAAACCTCTCACTGCTCAGGAGGACAAAGCCAGAGATTCAACCCGCGATGCTCGAGCTTTATTCATCTGTTGAACGCTGCCACATTTTCTATTGAGAGCAGAGAAATGATGCAGCACTGATAACAGAAACTCATTCTTTTCCTCACACTCGCAGTGAGCCTGAAGTCAGCGCAGCAGCAGCAGATAATACTTGTCATCTGCTTTGGTTGCTGATACATTGCAGCGTTATTAGTTAGAAAGGCACGTGTGCTCTTTGCTGTTATCATGAGACAGGTTCGGACAAACAGCAGTCACATAAAGGCAATACGCTGTGACAAATGGGTTTTAAACTAAAGGTCAGCAGCAGAGGTGTGAATCTTCAACGGCCTCACAAATCGAAGACCATTCACCTGTCAATAATTCGATGCATCTCGATGTAACGCATCCTCAGTCTTTTATATTACTACATGGCTACTTTCCCTCAATGAATACACGCAGACAGATACATCTGAACTGATCTCTGACTCTCAGGGTGGGGAGAGTTGAAAGCTGACAAATCCAAAGCAACAGGGAAGGGAATGGAGAAAGGGCAAAAAAATAGATCTCAACAGCTGCGGGAGGGGCTACAGAGTCGACACATGCTGCCACTGTAGCTGACGTGCCTCAAAATTTAGGGGCCACAATGATTCGAGGGGTTCTTGGGAGTCCTGCTGTAGATACCAGCAGCGTAGGTTTTATAGTTCACTGTCGAATTTTACCGTCGACATCATCATCACACTAAACAGGTGTATCAGACGTGATCAGGCCATGTTGTCCTTTAAATATTCTTCTGCACACACAGTTGCAGGTATTTGTCCTTTGTCTCACTACTAAATATGAGGCTACCGTCTAGATGACCAATTTCAGTTCTTGGTAAATGGACCTGTACTTGTATAGCGCCTTTCTAGTCTTCCGACCACTCAAAGCGCTTTTACACTACGTGCCACATTCACCCTTTCACACACATTCACTCAGTGATGGCAAAGTCCATCGAACAGAAACTAACATTCAGACACATTCACACATGGATGCACAGCATCAGGAGCAATTTGGGGTTCAATATCTTGCTCAAGGATACTTCAACATGTGGCACCAGGGGCTGGGGATCGAACCCACAACCTTCCGATTTAGGAACGACCCGCTCTGCCTCTGATCCACAGCTGCCCGCTCTTTTGGTCTCCATGTGGCGTCTCCATTGCTGCAATAGCCCCGACCAGCCCAGTCTCCCGCTAAAGCGCGTCAAAGACCCGCCCATCCACTAGTGGATACCGTGTCAGTGTCACACTTTGCCTCGCCTACACGTGAGAAGTACCCTGACGTATGAAGGTGCAATGTGAAGAAAGAGGACAGGGTGGATACAAACTATTTGGGTCCTGAGTGAAACCAAAAGTCAGCGTGACTTACTTTAAGTGACGTATGGAAGTAACCAAAAGGATCTGGTGCCTAACCTAACCAAACTGCAACCTCAGCAAGTTTTATTTTGAAAGCGCTAAACGCACGTTACATCTTCCTAATTGCCAACTTGACCACGGAAAACATTGTTTGCCACGGTTGGCACACTTTGGCCCCACATGTAGTTCTTTTTGAGGAAGTCCTCCATAACAGTGCAAACTTACATTTGGATTAATACAGCAACCTGCTGCTTTCACTAAAACACATCTTGCAAAGACATCTCCACAGCAGCTCTGCTCACCACAATCACTGCTCTGAATGAAAGAATGGAAGCACAGCAGTGGCACACAGCAGCACTGGCGTTCACGGACTGAGCATCCTGATATGCTCTTCCTCAGTGTTGAAAAAACCAATCACTTGTTACCTGGCGCAGTGCCTGACTAAAAAGCTTGTTATACAGATATCTGAACAAAGAAACGACTGGAAAAACAACCTCCAAGTGCTTGGCATTATAAACACTGGGAGCACAGGAAGCTCTCTGTGTGCGCTTTAGTGTTGGCGGCACACTTTCACATCACTGATTTCCTTTTCCACCAGCCTGGAGGAACAATAAAGACGAGCACTTTACTGGATGCTCTCATCGCTTCCATCATGTCGTTACTGTTATTGTAATGTTCCTGCGGGCACTGCCCTGACAGTGAACTGTAATCTGTGATTACTCATGTTTGTATGTTTATTAGGAGTTCAATAAGAACCTTTGAGAGTTCTTTGATCCAGAGGGGCCGACACCAAAACATGATATCTACCGTTAATATTTTAAAAAGCTGAAACTTCCCTGAAGCTGCTGGTAATGTCTGAGCAGGATGCCACGTTGTACAAATCCAGTGAGCTCAGAATCAGCCTCATTAGAGAGGATTTTCCTTTAAATGTGCAGTACAGCTGGTTTATAGGTTACTATGGCTCAGTCTCTCTGCCTGTGATTGGCCACTGGAAGATGCTTGTATCTCACACCCATTCACACACACACACTTCTCAAGCACTATCTAACAAGCCTGTGCACAGGGACACACGCCTTTCATTTCAGGCACTGTTTCCTTGATGCAGGAACACCGCCCTCCACCCTGACAGCCCCTCTCCCACAAACACACAGCTGCTGCCGGGGCATTACATAAAGCTAATCAATGCACTGGCACCTATAAATAATTCAGCCTCTCTACCATCCATCACCAGCCGAGCTGCTGCTGCCGCTGCTCGGTGCCGCTGCTCGGTGCTGGTGACGGCACTGCGGAGGACCGGAGCCGGGCAGGCCCTCCTCATTCAGCAGCGCGGGGATCTGCCTCATCCTCCTCATCAATGACTTCCAGCTGCCACCTCCTCTCCCTCCTCCTCCCTGTCTCATCATTCGCACCTACAAGCGAGCAATGGCGGTGAAAGAGGCAACAAGATCCGCCTTCACCTGGACGGAAAGATGCACACAGCACCGAGCTGCTGCTGCTGCTGTTGTTGTTGTTGTTGTTGTTGTTGTTGCTTTGCACAGAAAGCATGCCTTCCCCGCCACAGGTGTACCTGAGTGATACCTGTAGCCTGCAGCCCGCCTGTTGATGTGCACACACACTCACTCACACACACACACACACACACACACACACCAGCAGCTCACGCCTAAAACCGGCGCGCATCCTCTCACTCTTCATCTCCATCTCCACACCGCTGAAATCATCCGAGCTGCAGATACAATTCACACCCTCCTCCCCTTCCCACAAAGAGCACACAGACAACAGTAAATAATGACCGAGCCCCCCCGCTGTCACACAGTCCGGTTCCACTGACCTGATGCGTCTGAAGCGACCGCGGCGGCGAAACGGATCCCGACCAGTCTGCAGCCCAACCTCCGTGTGATGCCCGTCCTATATCCCCTCTCTCTCTCTCTCTCTCTCTCTCTCTCTCTCTCTCTCCTCCACCCCCTCCTGCGCACTATTACCTCACAGCCTCCGCTCTGTTCACAAGACAAGAGAGAAAGCAAGAAAGCATATGGACTGATTCTCACCAAGAAAGCCAGAGACACCCAACAGGTTGAACATTTCCAAACAGAGAGACAGCCGAACCGAACCGAACCGAACCGGTGATGGAGTTCAAACACTTCAAACCAGCGTCAGGTCACTTCAACAACTCTCAAATATTAAAGCCAGGACTAAAGTCAGTCTAAGCCTTTAAAGGACTGGGGTTACATTTCTTTCCCACTGCTAAAATGGTGCATGCATTTAAAGTTAAAATAGGATAGAGCTTGAAACTCCAAATAAAAGCAAACTGCCTCTTCAGTTGAAGATATTCCTGTTGTTTTACTCCAACATAGGATTCATTTAATTGCTCTTAAATTAGGCTCCTCATACAGCTGTCAGTGAGGTGGTAACATGTTCATCATGTAACTCCATCTCAAAGCCAGACATTGCACATAGGTTGTGTGTACAGGATCAAATATATAAATAGTTTGTTAATTAATGTTTCCCACCGCTTCCAGTTGTTATGCTAAGCTAGGCTAACCACATCATTACTCCAGCTCTGTACTTAAAGGTGGGGTATGAGTTTTTTTGGAAAACAATATATAAAACCAAGCCTAAATCAAACTAGCAAGAGTTATTAGTTAAATAGTTTTTACAAAAGCAGCAAAGCTAAAAAGGAAGGTAACGTTAGCAGACTTTTACAACCGGAAGTCAGCTGAATGTCTGCAGGTAGCTCATTTAACGTTACCTGACACACAACTCCTGCAGGGATAGAGTTAAGTGGTACGATGCACTTTATTTGCTTCCCTTTTACAGCGTGGGGCTGTGTCCATTAGAATCACTGATCCCACCTTTAACACACATCAATCCTCTCATCTCACACTTAAAGTAAGAAACTCTACCTTCACTGTGTCTGTACCATCAGCAGCACCCGTCAGAAGGAAAATAGACAGCTTTTGGGATTCACACCACTTCTAATTATAAGCAAACACGTGGATCAGGTGATACAATCACATTGTAAAGACCGTAAAAGCCTCATGGGAGCTGCGGTTGTTGAATGCTTGCAGTGCTCCAGTGGAGCAGCAGAAGCTCATCCAGCTTAGAATATGGACAAATAAAGTAAACATGACTCAGAAATCAATCAAAACTGAATGAAAGGAGGAACAGCTGTGAGCTAAGAGAAGAGGCGGGGCTCCGGCTCTTCATAAAGAAAGAAAATGCTGCTGCTGCGTTCAGGTGTCATCGGCTGTCGGAGCAGCCGGTGTAGCTGGAGGCTGCTGATGTGAAAGCCTGGTGTAACACTAATGCACTCATTGTTAAAGTGTCATTACCAGCCTCAATTTAACACTGAGCAAACACACACACACACAGACACACACACACACGGACACAAAGCAAACAGACAGGACAGGTGCTGCCTGCCGCTCACCATCGAGTCACGCTAACAACATGGCCGAATCCGCTGAATGAAAGCAAACACAGCAACAACAACCTCATATCAGTGTCATAACCAGTGGAAGGTTATGATAAGAGCACAGAAAGGACTCAATATATGTTTGTTAATCTATAATACCAACGACGGCTCTGGCCTGATGTTTGTTCACTTTATGTGTTTCCTGGTTCAGTTGCTGTGTCCCAGTTCTAAATGTTCACAGTTTTGAGTACGTGGTCTGCTTTGACTGGAAAAGTGTCCAAAACAATGAGACAAATTAAATATAACTCACCAAAACCCTATTTTTTAGTCTTTCCAACAATCACAAACACTGGTTTGGTCGAAATAAATCCTTAATTCACTTTGTTAGATGTGAAAATATTGGTGAAAGGGCCTTAATGTAACGTTTATCCTTGGGGTTAAATACGCCTGTAAAAGTGAGTCCACTAACAGTAGTTGTTGTTTGTTCCACTGACAGACTCAGGTTGTTATTGTCAGTGTCTGACAGCATTATGGAAAGGATCCCTACAGAGATAGACCTTTAGTTTAACCACAAACAGCCGTAATATCACTATCACTCTCCACCAGACTCCAGAGACAAAAATGGCAATTTTACCATGCGTATCATTGTAGCGTCGTACAAAGTGGACAAAAACAAAATAAACCTCACCAAAACCGTCTTTTTAGTCTTCCCACTGTTCCAAAAAACACAAACAAAAGCTTTGGTTGAAATAAATCCTCAGTCTCTCTCTAGGAAGGTTCAATCGTAACACAAATGACATTTCGTCCAGTCACCCTGAAACTTTTCTGCAAATCCGATCAATCATTGTAGTTTTCTGCAAGTTTCCCCAATCATAGTCCCCCGCCTGAAACGTTGAGCGATACCTCACCCAACTTATTCTCACTGGAACAAGTTTTAATGAATTATACAAAAACATGTTTTCAATTTTCACTTTATCCTGTATTTTCACCCAGTTCATGGTACGACCCGGCCTATAGGGGAAACAACATGACAAAAATCCAGCTCCCAAGAACCACCAGCTAAAAAGATATTGCAGCCCTTTCAAAGGTTTATTTTAATCTCATATCTTCAGGGTGAGCTAACAGCAAAACCATAGACCATACACTTAAGTTGTGCACCATAAAGGTACAAAGCAGTTCCCTAAGCGAAGTCACATCAAACTGTTCCTGGTGACCAGTACGAATTACATCATGTTTTGGCTTGAAAGAGCTTTTCTGGAGCTGCTGTTGTCAGATAATAAACCATAAAACAGACCATAAAAATCCCGGACGCAGCATCACAAATGATGAGTTAAAGGTCGAGCCCTCTCTTGTAAGACCTGTATTAGTAATAGTATAAAGAGCATTTTATGATCACTACAAAGAAAGACAAATTCCATGTTGAGTTGTTCCTGTAGTTCCACGCAGCGTCAGTAAGCTCTCCAGAAATGATTTGCCCTCTGAGGATACAAATCTTTGTTATGGCGCTCACGTCACGGCTCTCGCCTCGCCACAGAATCCATCCTGAGGGGTCGCTGAGAGGTTACTTACACAGAATTAGACGCCCACTTCCACTGCGGAGAAACCTCTCAACTTATTAAATATGCAGACAGGTCTGATTATTGGCTGGATTAAAAGGCTTAATGTTGCCGCTGTGTGAGATCAGTGGAAATGAGAAGATGACGCTCACTAATGGCCCTCGGATCAGCTTCAGATCGGCTCGCTGGGCTTTCAGTCGCTTCCTCGCTCAGCTCCAGTTTTGGCTTTCTGGAGACATCTTGAGGAATTTCTCACAGTTTCACATTGTCTGCATATTGAAAAGTTAATATTTTATTACACTCATTACGGGTGTGGTGTTTAAAGTCCACATTTTTGTGATTTAAGTCTCTTGATGGTCTCGCCTGAAGGAAGCTTCCACCCCTTTTCAGGAAAGTTGAGATGAGTCACTGTTAAACTCAGATGATTTAAAGTATTTTCATGGTATGAAACGTTTCACCAAGCTTAAGACCCAGGCATGGTGAGACGTTTGTATGTTGCACCGGTTTCCACTCTAAAAAACACAGTTTAACATAAATAAAATGGTTTTTATAGCAAACGTAAGGTAAAATGATGGCATTCTGCAAGGGTTAGTATCATTTCACTGAATAATTCAGGTGATATGTGCACACAATCATAAGTCATAACATGGTTAAATTTGGCTCCATCAACAGTGTGAAAGCAGCCAAATGCCCCTCAATGATGTGATCTGTGTTTTTTTGGGGGGACTGGACGTCCGCCATCCTCCTCCTTCTCTTTAATGAACTTCAGACAGTAAAACAAACACTGAGTGGAATAACAGAGGCTGAAGAAACGAGCTGAGAAAAGCTGCGGCCTTGCTTCTGAAAATCCAATCATGAAAAGAACGCAGCACAAGATTAGCTGCACATTATTCAGTGAATCAGCGTGCATGTGTAATGATGTCGGGCTCCGAAAGGCGGTCGCACCTCAGCTGCTGCTGCCGCCGCTGCTGGGGCAAGTTCGGCCTCAGTTTTGGGTGAAGATCAATGTCGACTTTATCAGCTCAGTTAGAAAACTAAAGACACGTCAAACTACATTTTCTACATGAAAAACTTCCAGATGCTTAAAATATTCATATATTTTTATTTCTTTATATATTATGGATGGCAAAATATGGGTTTGATTCATTTCTTTATATTATTATAGACTGAATGTTATAGTTGGATGAAGATGCTGCCTGCAACAAACATTCTGTAATCATTTACTCCTACAAGGGAGCAAGCTGCTTCATCTCATCTCCACTCAAAAGTAATCAGATACGGTGCATCCAAACACACACACACACACACACACACACACACACACACACAACTCAGTGGGCCGAGAGAAGCAGAAGCAGAATAACACTGAAGTGAACATTGTACTGTATGTTTTTGAATTTGACACACGCGAGGCGGCTGTAGGCTGTTCCATGACAAAAACAGGCATGAGGATGTAATTGCATTAAGCCATGATGCCTTTAAATAGCAATATCCTGCCAGACAAAATGCTAATTAATGTGATTTGGGTCTGTTAGTGTCCAGCGTGCATTTGGTCTTCAGGTCTGAGCTCTCCGCAGGCGGAGCCTCAGTCTCAGTAAGATACCAAGAAGAAGCTTGATATGTTGCTTTCACTGACCAAAAGAAAAGCAAACAGAAAACAGTGCAGAAAAAAAAGTCTCAAATAGAAGCAAATCCATACATTGAAGCTGTAAATGAAAACAGTGAACTTTGCTGACCTCTATCTGTGGTCAGCTCAATGATTTAATGCAGAAAACAACGTTTTCTTTCACATAGGGCTGAATGCTGACCAACCTTAAAATCTTGGTCTCTGCAAACAATGCAACATACTTATTAATGCAGCAGTAATATTAATCCAACCACATCACATATAATAGTAAAACACTTTCAGGGACTAGTTTACTGCTCAATTTTCATACTTTGAATACATTTTGCTGAAAACACTTTGAA